GAATTTCAACCACCTATTTTTTCTCTTAATTTGGATCCTTGAAACACAAAACAACACGTGTAGCGCCTTACATTAAAACAGCCCCTTAGAGTTTATGAAGTGCCTCCTCTGGGTTCTCTCACTAGGCCACAGCTGTAACTCACAAACCTGACCCTTAAAACTCTCAAGGCAAGAGAAACCGCACAGGCCGGAGCCCATGCAGCCACGCCACGGAGCCCGTGCTGTCATAAAGTACCTCGCATCTCGTTTGTGCCTCAAAACAACCCCAGGCAAGAGGCCTCGTGTGTATTACAGATGCTGAGAAAGACTCTCAAGCCAGGTGACTGGCCCAGGGCCCCAGGAATTAGTGGCAGGGCCTGGCTGGAACTAAGCCCTGGTTACTCCAGATCCCATCCTCTTTTCTGACCTCCCAGTCCCTTTCTCACAGAACCGAAACGTCTTCTCCAGCCAGGCCCTGCTGCTAATCCCTGGGGCCCTGGGCCAGGACACAGGCAGGAGGGACTCAGGCAAGAGGAGGCTTGTGGAAAGAAGGGAAAGCAGAGCGACTGGGAGCCTTGGGACAGAGTCTGACGTTAGGTACAAGACAAGTTTGGAAAGATCCACACGGAGGAGGAAGGGAACCTGGGTGCGGGGGACAGGTGTCTCCTTCCAAAGCCCAGCCATATCCGAGGTGACTGCAGGGAGACGCAAAGCTGGCTGGGGCAGCAGGGACCACCTGGGTGCAGAGAACCCAAATAACTGAAAATCCAAAAAGGAATCTTAGTGCAGAATCAGAAAGCGTACTCTTTGGGCGGGTTACCTTCCCAACCACGTTCTCCTCTGGCCCACGTGAAACTGGCATTGCCCGGTACAACTCTGCAGTGCTTTCCTGACGGCCCACTGAGTGAGGATCTGTGCTACAGTCTAGAAGGATCCAAACGTGAACGCAGCTCGGTTTCAGCTCTGGGACGCGGGGAAAGGAGGAGCAGGGAGCAGGACACGTGCCGCAAGGAAGAGCAGTGCTCCCGTGTTTCATTCACACGCTCATCCAGCTGTAGCGCTAAGGCTCTACCGTGTGCCGGGCCCTTCTCTAGCTACTGGGGATCCAGAGGTGAACAAAGTCTTTGACATTTGAGTGGTAAGAGATAGACAATAGACATATAAATTACACACTGAATGGTGAGTACTAAGGAGAAACACAAAGCCAGGTTAACAAGAAAAGGGGAAGTAACGCTAATTTGTGTAGGGCCGTCAGGGAGCTGGCAGTAACTGAGAAAGCCGGCCAGCTGGACATCTGGGGGCGGCTCATGCCAAGGGGGTGGGAACAGCAGGTGCAGAGGCCCAGGGGCAAGAGTGGCCTGGCCAATCTGAGGACCAAGGGATAAGAGGGAAAGAGCACGCATTCAGTTGGGACTCTCCAGGATGGACAAGGGCCAAGATGACAGGCGAGGATGGGGTGGGGACAACCCAGAGCAGATCTGGGCAGTGAGCCTGTCTGCCTGGAGCGGGGGCAGCCCGGAGGGACCGTGCTTGGGAGCAAGGGGGGTAACTTGAGAAAATCTGGCCGAGTAATGTGGATGCAGAGGGGACACTGGAAAGCCACTGAAGGCCTGGGCAAAAATGACACACCTGGCCTGGGCCAACCCACCGAGTTAGGGATACCCCACAGCCCAATCTGGGAAACCTCACAGCCGGCACAGAAATCATAATGCACACAGTAATGGCACGCCACCAGTACACGGGGATCCACAGAGAGAGCCTGGCTGTAGGACCTTGAGGTCACCTACCTCCCCCGGCTCCCTTGTTTGTCCGGACAGGGAGAGAGGGGAGGATTGGATTCAGGGGAGGCGAGAAAAGACGGTGCCCACGACAGCTGACTCAGCCTGTGCCAGCAGGCTGCTCTGAGACACGAGCTGGACCCAACCCAGGCAGTGGGCGGCAGGGGGGTAGGGAGGAACTCAGGGAAGGGAAGGAGCCAGAGAAGCCTCCCTTGGGCGCTCGGCCCAACCACCATCCAAGGGAACAAAGAGCACCCCCCAACCCCTACCAGGCACACAGGCTGACTTCTGGTGAGCAACCACCTCAAACTTGACCTACACTGGGGAGGCCTGCCTGGTCATCAGTGGCTACCTCACACCCTACCTGTGCCTCCACATCTGCAGTTCTCATGGCCAGGGTGAGGAACTGAGACTGTGTGGGGAATGCACATAGCCTGTGAGTGGCACAGCCAGGACCGCCGCCCAGGCCCTAAGCTCTCTCCACTTCTCTAAGGACCAGGCTGCAAGGCAGGGCATGTGATCTCTGGCCACTTGTACAGGAAGACATTCAAGGCCAGCCAGGGATGTGTTCAGGGTCTCCATCCCCACCGACCACCAGCCCTCTCTGACTCCCCGGGACAGTCAAGGTTTCTCCAAGACTTCAGACCATGGTGTCACCTGAGGCCCACACCTGTTTAGTCACCGGGGCAGGTATTCATGGCAGAGGACAGCGAGGAGCGCCAGAGAGGAGCTGAGGCCTGGATGGGGCCTCTACAGCCAGGCTCAGACCCCACTGTCCCCACTCCAACAGCCCTCACCTCAGCCACCAAGGCCCAATCCAAACAAAGCCCAGCCTGATGCCAACCTCACCATCAACAGTTTTTCCTCTGACTTCCTCTCAGTTTTGTCTAGGAAAAATCAAGGTGTCTTATCACCCCTCTGAGCTTCCAGGGGTGTGATCAGTGTCTTTTACAATTATCTCTTATTTTTATCTGGTATTTCTTAGCTCAGTTGGCAAATTGGGTATTTACGCACCTCCATTTCACAATCCATCCCCACCAATTATGCCTGTGAAACTCACATTTTGTTAAAAAAAAAAAAAAAAAAAAAAGGTTAGAACTACTTAAGAAGGTTATGTAAATAAGTTAACTAGCAGGCCACAACTTGGTTCTAGGGTGTCCAAGAAAACAAGCCAGGTAGAAGAGAATGAGGAGCTGATGGTCACCAGCTCCATCTCCTTCCAGTGCCCACCCCACCTCTCCTGCTCACCCACGGAACTCAGCCTGCGGCTTCTCCCAGCCCAGGACCCCAGGAGCCCAAGGGCCCAAAAGCGGGCAAAAGCACAGACCACACTTCCTAACAAATGAGAGGGAAGACTCAGTAACCCACCGCAGGTGCCAGTACCAGCTCAGACATGGAGCCCACTCCAAGGGCCCCCCTACCAGTGCTGCTAGCGCCCACCAAGGGAGGCCCTCGAGCACATAGCCACAAGCTCCAGCTTTATCCACTCATGCCCTGGACACGACCAGGAGCCCCAGCGGGTTTCACAACAGTGTCACATCAGCCCTCCTGCCCCACAAATCCTAGGCTCAGGAGACCCTCTCCAGCCCAGGCTGCAGGGGGAGGCACCCCCATGGTCAACCAGGAATCAGCACAAAGAGCAGCGCATCCTGGACGCAAGGGACTGGGAAACCCAGATTGTGTCCCCTGCATAGTGGCCACTCCTGGGAGAGGAGAAACCCCTGCCTCACCTCACTGGAGGGACCTTGACCCAGAGGCCTGAGAAAAAGCCACCTGCAGGCTCCTGGCACCTGCCAAGCTGCACCTTAGTAAAACTTGTCCCACTTCAAAGTGCAAAGCTCTCAGGTCATTTCTTTTTTTTGTGATGGAGTTTCACTCTTGTTACCCAGGCTGGAGTGCAAGGAGTGCAACAGCACGATCTCAGCTCATAGCAACCTCCGCCTCCTGGGTTCAGGCAATTCTCCTGCCTCAGCCTCCCGAGTAGCTGGGATTACAGGCACGCGCCACCATGCCCAGCTGATTTTTTGTATTTTGAGTAGAGACGGGGTTTCACCATGTTAACCAGGTTGGTCTCGATCTCTTGACCTCGTGATCCACCCGCCTCGGCCTCCCAAACTGCTGGAATTACAGGCTTGAGCCACAGCGCCCGGCCGCTCTCAGGTCACTTCTAAAACCTCTGTGCTTTCTCAAAGAAGATGGAAAATAGGAAAAAACAAACAAACAAGGAGGCACAGGAGGTTGAAGAGGCCAGAGGCAGTTTAGCCCAAAAACAAAGTGCCGGACACATGATGCTGAGTTTGGGGTGCTTCACCCTCTGCATGCCCATTTAGGAGCTGACTGCACTCAACCATAGATTTACGGCTGGTGCCTGCCAAGCCGTATCTGAATAGATCTGAAAAATTAAGACTTCCTTCTGCCAGTAAATGCTAAGCTAAGACTGGCAGGCCCCTCTAAGGCTCTGCTCTCCACAGGGGTCCCGCAGGGCAGGCCCCTCGCGGGCGTCCCCGCTTCACCCTCCCTCGGAGTCGGCCCCCCCGCCTGGGCACACCCAGGGCCTTTGCCCGTCCCGTGGAGCCCTGCTTAGGAACCGGGGCGTAAATGTTCTCCTTCAGCATCTTCGGCCAGATCTCCTGCCAGCAGCCTCGCCAGGCAATGCCTGCCGTGGGGAAGGAGCCCCGCCGCGGGGCAGGTCCGCGCCGCAGCCCCAGCCCTGCACCTGCAGCCCAGGAGCCACGGGGTGTTTAATTGAGAAGTTTTCCCCTCTGGGCGTTATTAGAAAGGGAAAGGGAAAGGGGCAAAGATTCGGGCTCGGGTTCTCCCTGGCAGCGAACCCCAAGGCGACCCCAAACTCGGTCGTTGCCGCCAGGCACGGAGACTTGATGCCGGCGCCAAGCGGGGCCACGGAACGCACCAGCGGCCCGGCCAGCCCCGCGGGACCCGAGCGGGCGCCACCCCCACCCCGCAGGCAGCGCCTCTCGCCGGCGCCCAGTGCTCCCCGCCACGGATGCGAGAGCCGCCGCCCGGTCCCCGCTGCATCCGCCCGCCGGTCGTGGGAAGGGGAAAGGACGGTCCGAGAGGAGTAGGGCCGCCGGGCTGCACCCCCAGACCCCAGCAACGGCCGCCCGGGCCCCGCACCCCCGAGTCCGGAGGGCAGCGCTCGGGCCGCAACCTCCGCGCCGCCCCCCACGCGTCCCGCTCCCCGCTGCCGCCCCGGCGAGTCTGGCAGCCCAGGCCCCCGCTCACCTGCCCGGGGCGCGGGAACGTCCGGGTGCGCCGCCGTCCCCGCCTCGCCGCCGCCCGCTCGGTCCGCGAGGCCGAGGTCTTTGTGAGCCCGCGCCGAGCCGACACCGCGACTGCTGATGAGCCCGGGAAGCTGAATAGCTTCTCGAATATCGGCGGGCGCGCCCCGGACGCAGCGTACGGCACGCAGGGCCGCCTCTGCCGGGCGCACGCGGCGCGGCCGCGGGGCGCACCCCGCACCGGCCAGCGGCTGCGAGACCCGCGCCCCCGCCCCGGCCGCTTCCACCTCACCCTCGCCGGGCACGCCGGGGCCGGAAAACAGTTCCCGGCTACATCGCGCGGCGGGAAGAGAGGGAAGACAAAGATGCGTCCGTGCCGGGCGTGCGCGAGGCCCTGCGCACCTTGGCCCCGGCGCTGGGACAGTCGGCGGGGCGGGTGGGACGGGGGTCCGCCAGGCGGGTCTCCGGGACCGGGGCTGGAGCCCAGACGCTGGAAGGCGCGGCGCCCCGAACGCCCCGGGCCCTGGGGAGCACACAGATTCCCGGGCGTGTCCCGGCCCTGCGGGCTGGGGAGCTGCAGGGGTCTGGTCCTGCGGGTAGAGCCGGTGAACGCGAGGCTCCCACTCTGCTCGCTCGGCCCCCGCAGCTGTAAGCGGGACCCTAGAGCGAGGAACCCTCGGGGATCGCGGCCTCCGAAAGCCCCATCCGGCATCAGAGGCCCCCTGCTGCCTCCCCACCGCACTCACCCAGGCGGGTGCTGGACTCCCAAGTCTTCCCTGCCGATTCCCGCTAAGGACCCCAGCACCCCATTTCCGATACCTGTGCTGCTTTAGCCCCCAGCTACGGCCTCACTCCAGGCCATTCTCTCCTTGCAGTCCTCAGTGGAAAGGACCCTGCCCTCCGCGGGGCCCTGGGGAGCACACCCTCACACGCATCCCCAGGGGGGCCAGTCTTCCGCCCCCGCAGCGCGAGAAATACCCTGGAGGCCCTGGAAGGTTGCGCTGGAGACTCCGTTGTCACCTTCGTGGAGTCCCAGGCAAATGTGCTAAGCCGTGGGAGACGCACAGGGTACTTTACCTGGGCGGTGCGGGGCCTCAGGTGGCTCCTTCCCCCAAAACCTGGTGATTTGCCCTTGTTTTCTTTTCTCCTTTTGGCTGGATTACGCGTAACTGTGGCATGGAAAGTTCTGAAGATGGGGGTACAGGGGAACTGGGGGCCTGGGGGTGAGGAGAGCCCATCTTCCTGCTGCCCTGGGGGCAGCTGAGACCAAGAAGGGGCTGGGGGAAGCCAAATCCTGAGCTGCACTAGGGTTAGATACAGGGTGGACTTGGCCTCTCCACACTCTGCCCCCACCACTCACAAATCGCCAGGGCCAGCGCTGCCAGTGGGGGCTGCTCCTGGTAGGGCAGCTTTGTAGCCACAGGACCAAACAAAGGAGCGAAGGTAGAGCTGGGTCGGGCCAGCGAGGTTCGTGACCTCCTCGCTGCTCAGGTGAGCACACCTTCACTGCTTATTTTCCACCTGGATAGATATTCTGCTTACCTGGCCAACACAAAGTTCATCCAGCCTCCTGTGGCCCAACCTTTCTCCAATGCCAATGGTGGGAAGCAGTGATTCCAGGAAGACAAACTCAGTCATCTTCTTGCCTGACTGTTACATGGTCACATCCCATAGGAAGCCAGACACCTGGGCCTGAAGCTGATCCACACAACCCCCCCACCTCCTCCAACCCCCATCCCTATCTGTGAATGTGTGCGGGTGGGCAAGTTACATGCTGTTCCTTCAACAGCCTCCCTTGAGATCTACCCGTGGGCAGGCTCTGGGCCAGTCACTGGAGATTAAACCCCATCCCAGCACCTGGGAGTGAGTGGCTGATGTCCACAGTCCACAGGATGAAAGAAAGGTACAGGCCTAGGGCCAGAACAGTGGCTCCCACCTGTAATCCCAATGCTTTGGAAGCTGAAGCAGGAGGCTCACTTGAGCCCAGCAGTCCAAGTCTGCAGTGAGCTATGATCATACCGCTTGCACTCCAGCCTTGGTGACAGAACAAGACCCTATCACTTTGAAAAAAATGAAATAAATTAAATAAATTTAAAAATAAAGGTACAGGCCTGCCCCTAGCCTTACTCAGATTCCCTAAATCTGGTGAGCTTGAGCCAACTGCCAGTATTCAGAGAATTTTTAAAGAATCATTAGGACAAAGAACTAATGCATGTGGGACTTAAAACCTAGATGATGGGTTTGATGGGTTGATAAGTGCAGCAAACCACCATGGCACACATATCCCCATGTAACAAACCTACACATTCTATACTTGTATCCAGGAACTTAAAGTAAAATTTTAAATTAAAAAGAAAAGAATCAGGCCGGGCGAGGTGGCTCACACCTGTAATCCCAGCACTTTAGGAGGCCAAGGCAAGAGGATCACGAGGTCAGGAGTTCCAGACCAACCGGGCCAACATGGTGAAACCCCACCTTTACTAAAACACAAAAATTAGCTGGGCATGGTGGAGGTCACCTGTCATCCCAGCTACTCGGCAGGCTGAGTCAGGAGAATCGCTTGAACCCAGGCAGCAGAGATTACAGTGAGCTGAGATTGTGCCGCTGCACTCCAGCCTGGGCAACAGAGTGAGATTCCATATCAAAAAAAAAAAAAAAAAAAAAAAGTATCTTGGAATGGGAAAGGCCTTCCTAAGTATGCCACAAAACCAAAAAGTGGTAACAAAAGACAGCTAAGTTTGACCTCAAAAAAAACTCTGGCATGGCAATCACTGCCATACGCAAAGTCACAAAGGAGGAAAAAAATTTTCACATCACAAGCAGTTAATTTCCCTAATACATAGATAACATTGTAAAATTGATAAGAAAAAAAAAAACAGAAGAAAGCATCACCGATCATCACCGAGTCCCCACCATGGCTCACACCTGTAATCCCAGCTACTCAGGAGGCTGAGACAAGGATCACTTGAGCGCAGGAGTTCCAGGCTTCAATGAACTATGATCATGCCAATGAAATAAACCTGGGCAGCAGGTTGAACCTATCCCTTAACAGAAAAGACAAAGAAACAAGTAAATGGTAAGAAGCAGACAATTCGCAGGGAAGGAAATACAAATGTATTTTAGACATCTGAAAAGCTGACCTCCCTTATTCATAAAAAATGCAAATTAGGCCAGGTGTGGTGGCTGATGCCTGTAATTCCAACACTTTGGGAGGCCCAGGTGGGTGGATCACTTGAGATCAGGAGTTCCAGACCAGCCTATCCAACACAGTGAAACACCGTCTCTACTAAAAATACAAAAATTAGTTGGGCGTGGTGGTGAGCGCCTGTAGTCCCAGCTACTTGGGAGACTGAGGCAGGAGAATTGCTTGAACTGGGGAGGTGGAGGTTGCAGTGAGCCGAGATCACACTATTGCACTTGAGCCTAGGCAACAAAGCAATACTCCATTTCAAAAAAAGAAAAAGAAAGAGAAACGCAAATTGAAACTATGCTGAGATGCTATTGTGTTCACCGATCAGAGACCCAGGAGTTCAGTAACACAATATGTTCCAGAAAGCAAGGGGAAACAGGCAGACTCCCACACTGCCCATGGGAGTGTGAATCAGTACAACTACTATGTAGGAAAATTAGATGGTGTTTATCAAAATTACAAATGCACAAGCTCTTTGACCTAAGAATTCTACTTCTAGGAATGTTTCGACTTGTGTATCACACATGCAAACTAGGCATGCCTAGAATCATTCATGGTGCTATGTTTCTGTAGTAAATGACTGCAGACAACCTTCATCTCCATGAAAAGGGGGCTGGGGACTGTTCAGTGCATGAGGGCGCTTCCACACACTGAAATAGTATGCAGCTGTCAAGGAAGATTAACACGAGGTAGATGATAGATTAACACGAGAAATTCTCCAAGATTAATTGCTAAGTGAAAGACCAAAGGGCAGAAGGTATGTGTAGTATGCCACCGTGTGAGTAAAAAAAGGAAAAATGAAACAAGAGGGAGCCTATAGACGCTCATGTACTATCAAAAAGCCTTTCTGGAAGGATCACAGGAAACTGAAAAATGTTGGTTACCCTTGGGAAAGAAACTAGTGTCTGGGATGGAGGTGACAGGAACACTTGTCAGTGATTTTCCTTTTCATTTTTGAAGTATATGATATTATCTATCCCTGAAAAAAATTTTAATTATCATTTATGACCCTGGTTCTTAACCCTTTGGAGAGTAAAAGATCTCTGAAATCTTTGGTCTATTGTCCTAGGGGGAAAAATAACAAGGAAACTCTATGACTGTATATTTAAACCACATGGCTGTGATCCCTACCACCACTTAGTAGCAGCATACATGAATTTCAGGCTTAATGCCAATACCATTCAGCCTAGAGGAGCTCTTGGACCAGGCCAGATTTCCTGCAAGGTGTTAGCAAGTGGAGTTGAAAACTTGTCAGTTCCTCAGCACTCACACCCTAATTTTTTTTTTTAATAACATATGCCTTTCCTACATATGATAGAAGATTAATGCATTGTTTTATAGGCTGGACAACATGTTCCTTTACAAAACTTCCAAAATGTCAGAATACTAATTTTTCCTTCATTCTTTGGCTGACTGTAAAAATTTGCATGATTAATAAAGACATGTCCTCTCTCTGTGGGGATGGCAGAATAACTTCCCACTCATAAAGTTACTGATTGGCACAGGCCTTGTTGGGACTGTTAATATCAAGCTCTTGGCCAGGCGTGGTGGCTCACGCCTGTAATCCCAGCACTTTTTGAGGCCAAGGCAGGTGGATCACCAGGACAGGAGATCAAGACCATCCCCATCTCTCCTAAAAACACAAAAAATTACCCAGGTGTGATGACACACACCTGTAGTCTCAGCTACTCGGGAGGCTGAGGCAGGGAAATCACCTGAACCCAAGAGGAAGAGGCTGCAGTGAGTCGAGATCATACTACTGCACTCCAGCCTGGGCAGCATAGCAAGACTCTGTCTCCTAATGCTGTATCTTCAGTATCACCCCCACTCCCTGCTATCCCTCTAAAATACGTAATGTAAATGATGGGGTGATGGATGCAGCAAACCACCATGGCACATGTATACCTATGTAACAAACATGCACGTTCTGTACATGTACCCTAGAACTTAAAAAAAAAAAAAATGACTCTGTCTCAAAAAGTAAAAGACAAAAAGATCAAGCTCTTAGGCTCCTCCTGCTGACTGCTCATTTTATTCTTGTGAAGTCAAAAGTAGCCTGAACCAAGAGCCAAGAGGCCTGCATTCTGGCCCCAGCTAAGGCAGCAGCCAGGGTAGGGACTCAGGTAAATCAGCTGGGGCCTCCACGGTTCAGTTTCCTCCTGGGTTCAGGT